TTTTTCTTCCCTTTCCTCTCTCTAAACCGTGAAACACCTTCTCTCTCTCTCAAAGGGCACTTTTTACTCAAAGATCCTTAGATCTACTTGGTTGAAGACCTCTACTCATCTTGCTCCTTTGAGATAAAGTGTAGAGCTTGTCGAGGGCTTCATTTTGATCGGAGCAAAGCTTGGTTTCTCCTCCGTTGACTTTTGGGTTTTCTTCCTCCTTCCCCTTCTAAACTTGAGGTAGGGATTTCCTACTCCATTCTATAAGTTTTGTTCTAAGTTTTGGTATTTTGATATGTTGGGGATACTTTGGTAATTTTGGAAAAACCCCTAGTTGTTATAATAAATTAATTTATATAATTAATTTAGGAAAAATTGGGGAATTTAGTTGAATTCATGGAATTAATGAATTTATTGATTAAATGGAGTAGTAGGTTAGTTTAATCACTCACCTATGGAAAATGTTGGAATTACGTTAGTTGATACATTTATTTCCTGTTTAGAAATAACTGTTTTGGGCTATCGGTGGAGGATAGTCGTGATTGTTGTAGACATTGCATGTGGATTAGGAGGATAGCATTGCATTTGCATACATTGTTTTGTGTGTGGGAGGAGATGGGGGATGTACTCCACGGTTTAGGGGAAGATAGTGGATGGACCTCTAAACCGGATTTTGTTTTGGAGGAGATAGGGGATGGACTCCATTAGCATCACTTTTATGTGTGCTTATTTATATAGAAGTGTTTTTATTGATACAGCACTAAAATGTGTATCAATCTGGAAGTATGAAGTGTTTTGATTTGAGCTTGAGTCTCATTTGTTTGTTGACATTGGAAGAATGTGAATATGATATCTATATAGTTCACTGTTGTAAGTTTGGCCAGGTTCTGAGCCATATTGATAATGTTGGAAAGTAAAACGAGTTTTAGACATTAGTGTCATGAGACTGTTTGATGATGTAATTGATTATCTTGGTTAACCATCTATTGAATGCTATTGCTTTATTCAATGCTTATTTTTGGTTTAGTATATTTCTACTGGGCTGTGGCTCACCCTTTATGGGAACATCATTTTCAGGTCCAGGTGATAAGCTACCTCCCAGGACTTAGCTTGGAAGGATTTGGATTTTGAAGACTATTTTTAGTTGTTTGTTTTTATTTGATAAATAATCAAGCCTAGGGCTTTATTTGTATTTGAGTTAGAACTCTTATTTTGTGTCCAAGTGTTGGCTTGGAAAGATGTAAGCCCATAGGGCATTTAATTTGATGTTACATGTAATGTTTTTATTTAGTAATACTCTGATGAATGAATTAATAAATTGTTTTCTTTAAATAATGCATGTCAATGATATACATATAATGGATTTATTTTGAGGGCGTTACAAATTGTTTCATCCAATTGGAAACCTTCAACACCTGATGGAGATGACTAATAAAAGAAAAAAATGTTAATTAAATTCGTAATTCATAAAATCTGCAGAAATAGCTATTGATGTAGCAAATTTTCCTTACCGTATGTACAACATGATACATGTAACAGATAATTCTTTTACATGACATATGTACTCCATGTCTACTTTTTGAAGTTGGATATTGATGTCCACCCCAAATATGTCTTTCTCTAGTGGAATGTCTATGGCTTCATCATACTTGATATGCTCGACTAATGAAACAAAAGATTGAATGGACTCTTGATATTTTCCACATTCAACATTAATTGAAACTCCCTAAGTTTAAAATTTTCAAAATAGACAAATATAAGTCAACTTTAATTTTAAGAAAGTGTAATAAAGTTTCTAAGTTTGAATATTTTACCTCATCACCGACCAATACAAGATTTTTGGGCCAAGCAACAAAAAATCCCACTGCTTCTCCAACAATAAGCATCTCATCTGGGATAGGTATAGGAAGAAGGGCATCTTTTTGAATAACAACTTCAATAGACACACGTACATGGGATTCTCCTAATGGCACCGTATGAATGGCATCATTGGGTTCAATTCTCTCATACACCATGCCATGTGCAACAATATTTTCAATGGAACCTACCGTGAGTTTACACGGTTCGCCCTATAACACACAAAGTTAACAATGGAACTTCTAAGAATATCACTAACGATATTAGAAATTATAACATCAATATATAAAAACTACACACCTTTCTCTTATTTTGTTTAGGATCTTGAGGTGGAATGTCGTCCTTACTTCTCACTCTATTTTCTGCTAAGATAGAATCATGCTGAAAATTGCCTCTACCACCACTTTTCAATGTGTTTGAACATTTGCCCTATAACAAACACACAGATAACAACAAAAACACTAATAAAGTCACTAATAGTATTAGAAAATATAACAACTTTAGGTGTTCTAAATGTTACACATCTTTATAATCTTTAGGGTAAGAGCTTGGGATGGAATGTCATCCTTAGTTCTCGCTCTGTTTTCTGTTAAGAGAAAATCACACTGAAAATTTCCTTCATAACCACTTCTCAAGGCGTTTGAACTAACATGATCAGATTCTGGTGTATGTGGTATTTGTTGTTCCATTGCACTAAGCCTAGCTTGCAATTGTACCACCACTGCCTCAAGATCATTACATTTCTTCTCCCAATGTGACTGATTCCCACGTCTAGGCAAGTGAAAGTAGGTGCTACATGTGACAGGATTTCCTACACCCCTTACTCGACTAGAAGATTCAGGAGTACCCAATGCCATAGTAAGAATGTCATTGCATCCTTCAGTCTTTAAACTCCCATCACTTTTTTGTTTGGTCAACTCATCCTACAATATTACATTACTATATAAGAAAGATGAACAGTTGAGGTAGTATAAAATAAATGCAATCAGTACACACAAGTATCTTACAATTCTCGCAGTTTGTTCCATAATTGTCTTGTCATCATATTCTCCATTTTTATTTTGACGAGCCTTTTTCTATAGAATACTTCTGTCCAAATCTTCAGTAGATCCGGTCATACGTTTCTATCAATCAAACATATATCAATTTTTCAAAATAATCATCTCAAAATTGTTATTAAATTATAAAATTTATAACCACTTACATAATCTTCTTGAAAGCGAGCATAGCCCTTTCGACTGATTCTATGGTTATACTTATTTTGACTTCATCTCCATTTCTGAACCTAGCTCAAAATCTTTAAAAATGCAACACACAATGTTACTCCAAATGTATAGCATTTAATATTTTTTTTGAGTGAATAAGTCATAAAATAAAACAGAAAATTTACATGATTACAAGGGGCATGCCACTGTTATTACATAACTATACAAAGCTTGATGGGTCTAGCATTTAATGCTGACATTTTAAATAACTAAAGTTTGATTATTTTTACCTCAAACTCTTCTGATAGTCGCCCTTCAAGAAATGAGTCTCAATGTCTTTGTTCAACGAATCCATAAATTGCTGGTGGGTTTGATATGATCTCAGGATTGGACTTGTTTTCACGTATGTACTTGGTAAGTTCTTTCTTAAATGTCCTCCATTTTGAACAAATTGAAGATAACACTTTTTTCTTACTTCTTTCATCCACTTTGTATGTTAACTGAGTAGTGAAAAAATATAATGTTATAAAATTCAAATTTTGATTGCACTTAAATACAAGTTTAAGTGTCTTACTTACCTCTACACAATTCCATAATTTTTCTTTCAGTTCACCTGGCATCTCAAACCAGTCTTTATAGCATATCGGAACCATTGTGCGAGCCAACACCCCATGATAGCTTGAACATTTGATTGAATTGTTTCCAATCAATTGACCATTCTCGTTATAGCCAATGGCTTTTCGTACACCAGAACTCCTATCCTTTATGACATCTGGTAATGTTGTCGAACCTCTGCCTTTTCTTTTATTAGATTTTGGTTCTGTTGCTAGTAACCATGCATTCTCTCCATCAGTAGGCAGGACATGAGAAGTATCCATCTTGTGAATAAAATAAAAAGAAATTTAAGAAAAAATGTCAAATAGTTAGACAATTAAATATAAAGACATGAAGAAAATGAATATAAGTCAAACATCTTAACATGAAAGTACAACACTTAGACATATCTTACAAAGACATTTTTTTTTCATCATGGATTATCGAGCCAAGTTCCCTCACAATCTCCTCGCACGTAAGATGACAAAGAATCATCAACCATATCTAATGATTCAACTTCTGGCAAAACTTTTGTACAGCCATGATGCTCTATACAAAAATCATTTAACTCATCATCCTTTTCATAAGAATATTGTTTTTGAGGAGGTTCTAGCACAACTGACCATCTCAGATCAAGTTGATCTTGTACATAAAAAACTTGTTTAGCTTGGGAAGCCAAAATGAAGGGATTGTCTTTATGGCCTATCCTCCCTAACTCAACTAATGTGAAACCCAACTCATCCACTCTAATTCCCTTTGTGTTGTCAACCCAATCACACTTAAATACCAGAATCTTGAACATATTGTAGTCAAGTTGCCATATCTCAGTAATAACTCCATAGTAACTCATATCCGTAAACACTGGGTTCTTATCCTTATAACCTATCACTTGCATTGTTGTTGCCACGAAACTAACTCCACTGTTTTGGCTGACTCGTGAGTTATCCCGATCTTTTGTGTGATAACGACAACCATTGATGATATAGCTAGGGAATTTTATAACATCCAATCGAGGTCCTTGTGCTATCCACTTCAGGTTATTTGAGATATTTTTTTGGCCACTTAATTCCTTTGAGACTTGTATATGGTTGAATAGTTAGCTAATTTTTTTCTTAATAATATTCGGTATTAGAAAAAGATAAATGTTGAATTACCCCAATACCTTTTCACGAAGCCAATACATAAATGTTTTATTATGCTCAATTTGTAGCCATTTTTGACTTTGTGATTGACGATGATATTTTAGCTTCAACCAAGCCATATGCTCCCTATCAAATCATGAATAAAGCAATATATTATGAGATAAATCTCTAACTTGTGAGGATACAATTGTAAAAAAATGTACATGAAATATTCTTACTCAATGTATGGTTGAATGTCACTTGTATTTTCTAACACATAACGATGTGCTTGCTTCCATTCATTACGATCAATAGTAACAATATAACCACTTGATAAAGGCCTTCCAATTTCTGTATCATCATCAACTGTCATGTTCCTATTAGAAAGAATCCCGATTGCATCCACTCTAGATAAGTACTCTGCGCAAAACTCAACAGCTTCTACAATATAACTTTCAGCAATGCAACCTTCAGGACAATTACGATTACGAACATAACCCTTTAAGATCTTCATGAACCTCTCAAATTGGTACATCCATCCAAAGTGACCTGGTCCACAAAGTCAAACTTCTCTAACAAGATGCACTGCCAAATGCACCATGATATCAAAGAACGAAGGTGGGAAGTACTTTTCAAGCAAACATAATGTGACCACAAGATCTTTTTGAATCTCATCTAATTTTCCCACATCCACCACTTTGCTACAAATAGCTTTGAAAAAGAAACATAACCTGATAATGGCATGTCTCACATGCTTAGATAACACAGATCGTATTGCCACAGGTAGTAACTATTGCATCAATACATGACAATCATGTGATTTTAGACCATAAAGTTCCAAATCTTGCATTGATACACGGCTTCCTAGATTTGAAAGTATCCTTCTGGAACCTTCAATTCCAATAATGTTGTACATACTCTTTTGTTCTCCTCCTTAGACAATGTGTAACATGCTGGAGGCAAGTATGTTCGTTTCTCCCTAATTTGTGGTGCCAATTCTTCACGCAAACCCATTTCTACAAGATCAAGGCGAGAATTAATTCCATCCTTTGTTTTTCCTAGAATATTGAGTAACATACCAATGAGGCTCTCACACACATTCTTCTCAATATGCATAACATCCAAATTATGTCTAACATATAAGTACTTCAAATATTCAAGATCAAAGAATAATGATTTCTTCTTCCAACATTTTGTACCACCAACATCTAATGCTTTTTTATTTTTCTTTCCCCATATGGTTACAAGCCCTTCAACCTTATTTAATATCTCCTCCCCAGTTAATGGTATTGGAGCTAATCCAAACTCTTGCTCACCATTAAAAGCCTTTTTTTGCTTCCGATATGGATGGTAGCGTGGAAGAAATTTTCTGTGGCCAGCATATGTGTTCTTCTTACCATATTTTAATCTGTGAGAACATGTTCCTTCACTACAAATTGGACATGCATAATATCCCTTTATAGTATAACCACTCAAATTGCCTAATGTTGGAAAGTCGTTACTTGTCCACAACAATATAGCCTTCAGCCTGAAGCGTTCTTCTTTATAAGCGTCATAAGCTTTAATACCTACCTCCCACAACATTTTCAAATCATCAATTAGTGGTGCCAAGTAAACATCAATGTCATTACCAGGTTGTTGTGGACCTGATATTAACAATGATAGCATCGTAAATTTCCTTTTCATACATAACCACGGTGGAAGATTATAGGTAATCATTATAACTGGCCAACAACTATACCTACTGCTAAAGGAACTGTGTGGATTTATTCCATCTGCAAAAATAGCTAATCGAAGGTTTCTTGGCTCTGCAGGGAAATCTGGCCACTTATGGTCTACTAACTTCCATGATAGAGAATCTGCAGGGTGACACATTGTACCATCAGAATCTCTTTCATGAGCATGCCATGTCAAATCCTTCGCTATTTTTGCTGATTAGAACATCCTTCGAAACCTTGGGATAGGTGGAAAATATCATTAAACTTTTGCAGGCACATCCTTTCTTATTTCAATGGAATTCTTCTTCAACTTCCATCTTGATGAACCACATGTAGGACATGAAGTTGTATCTTTGTACTCCTTTCTATAGAGTATGCAATCATATGGGCATGCATGCATTTTCTCATATCCCATTCCCAATGCAGCAAATGTCTTCCCAGCCTCATACATGGATGATGGTATTTCATTGTTCATTTGCAGCATATCACCCAACAACGCTAGTAGATCTTAAAACCCAGTGTGAGATAGGCTATTCGTAGTTTTGAAGTTATATAGTTTAACCAATGCAGATAACTTGGTAAACTTTGTGCAACCCGGATAGAATGGTTTTTCCGCATCTTCAAGTAATTTCTTAAACACTTTAGGATCAACCATGTAATGATCATATGCATCTTGAACCATTTCTATTGTTTCAGCTACATTGTCTATGGGAGACGTGTCAAATTGTTGCTAGGAAAAATCTTGTTCATTTAAACATGGTGATGCCTCACTGGTGACTACTTCTCCATGCCATATCCATGTGGTATAACTTTGGTCAATAGCATTGAAAAAGAGATGATTTCTAATCTCTCGAATAGGTTGGCTTCTCAAGTTCCCACAAACTCTACAAGGACAACGTATTGATTGAAGATCACTTGCATGAATTATAGCAAAATTAAGAAATTATTCAACTCCATTCTCATAGTCTTTTGATCTCTATCCTTGAACATCCAAGATTTGTCCATTTTAAATGTATTTTTGAATGCCTATATCAACAAAGAAATTAGAATATAAAACAATAAACTAAAGGCTACACAATTGATAACCTCAAAGGAATGTCATTGAGAAGGCACAATTTCTTTGATAGAACATTAAATACCTTAAGAAAACTTGGAAAGAAAAAAAATGCAGGATCTTATAACAAATAATTTATCTGATCTATGAATAATTGCAAAGTCAAAAAAAGAAAAAAATAATAATAGTAATTCCACAAGGTCTAAACAATCTAGGCATTCATTATTCAATACTATCATTTATATTGAATGTTTCATATCCAAGAGGAGAGGTGTAGGCTTTAAACACTGCTAGGAAATGCCCCAAGGCTCAAAGTGGGCTGCCTAACTCCCTTAGGTGGTTTGCCTCCCAAAAGAGGCAGCAACTGGCAGCAGCAACAATTGGCAGCAGCAGCAAAAACTACACTGCAGCAGTAGCAGAGCAACAACAATTCAGCTCTGCAACAGCAGTAACAACTAAGTGCTTACTGGTCTTCTAGCTACCAATATAAATTTGAGTGGAGGGTAATTTCTTGAGGGTCGAGTGTTGGGGAGAAACCAAATGAAGGTTGAGTGTTGTTCTTGAGGGTTGAGTGCTGGTGAGAACATACAGGAGGGTCAAGTGATGTGAGCCATATGGTGAGGTTTACTATTTTAAATGTTTTAACTTACATGTTGCTGTGCAGGTTGCCAATTTGGTTTTTATATAGGGATGGTGGATTGAGAGATGGTGTGCCCTTATATATTGAGGGAGTGTTGTAAGCCATGGATTGAGTGAACTAGTTTTAAAAGCTTTCTAACCGTTTACTGCAGGTACTTATGGTTGGCTCTTATTAAAGAGATTTTTCATTGTGGGTCAAGTGAAAGAAGACCTAAACTGTTTGTTGCATTGGAGGATTTTCTCATTGTTATTACTTTTTGATTTCATTTGGTTGAATCTGTGTGGGTGGTCCTAACTGGTCATGCTAAAACTTGAAAGTATAAAGTTATGGGGAATGCAAACTTGAACCAGGTTGCAATCTGCGCCAGTTCAATGAATGGAGTATGCTTGACAGTTTTCTTTTTATTTTATTTTGTTGGTACTACACAATTCGATAGGAAGTATGGAGCTGAATTCCAACTGGTTTTATGCTCATGTTCTAAGGCTTCTACCTATTCCCTTGCAGGTTGTGCTTAGGGTCTTATTTTATTTTCTCAAACTCTTGGTTTCTTGTATATTGGTGTATGTGGCTGCTATGGAAAAACATAGCATTGATTGGCTTCTTTTGTGTGTGCTTCTAATCTTGGTTATGAAGGCAGCCACTCTACTAGCTAGACTTATTCACCCAAAAAAAAAACTAAGTGCAGCAATAGCAGCAGCAACTAAGTGCTGCAACAGCAGCAGTAGTAATAGCAAAGGCATTAACAAACCAAAACAAATCCTTATTTGAAGTGCATTACTATCCATTTATGTTTGAATTTAGTGTAATTTATCCTTACCTAAAACTGAAATGTATTAGTAGATGGGAACATCCATATGGTATTTGGACTTTTTTATTATAACTTTCTCCTTAATGGTGAATGTACTTTAAGGGAACAAGATATGAACAATATTCTGTGAACATAATATGGAATGTGTGTGCACCATTACATTAATTTAAGAGTTTCAACTAGTGTATCTATAATTCAAGAGCATTTAGATAACCCGGTGATTGGGCCTTTACCCAGGATTCAATTCCTACCCTTATGTAACGAAGTTCGTCTTTTTGACAGGGAAAAAAAAAATGAAAGGACAAAAACTAGTATAATTCATATACGAGAGCAACGCGGGAAGTAACTCAATGATCAGGGAGATCATATGGCTACAAGAGAAGAAACAATTGAGTTTCATTTTTTCTTGTTTGTGTCTCCATGAGACTGTCTGCTTAACACTTTCAGAAATGCTTTCAGCTTGCCTTATTGGTAAAATATATTACTTTTCAATCATTTGAAAATGTAGTAGTATATTGATTAATGTGGGAACTAGTATCATGCATTTTGAAGTACATGGAAACTATGAATGAGTAATTTGAATTAACCATTATGTTAATTTTGAGATTAAGTTATTCTTTTATAATGTAATCAAAACAGATTGTGGTCCTGTTTTATGGTCAAATGTCATACACTATGCAAGTGATACCAGCAAAGGTCTGTTCTCTGTGGTTTAGCTGGGAGGGGGGAGGGGTGTGTGAGAACAAAGCCTTATTTTAAGGATGCTTTCAAGACAAATTGAAAAACTTAAAAATAAAAGACAGATAATAAATTTTTTGGATTTAAGATGTGAGAGAGAGTGGAAACTCTCAATTGGTTGCATTTGGGGATTTGAATCTTATTTTTAAACACTGCTAGGAAATGCCTCAGGGCTCATAGTGGGCTGCCTAACTCACTTAGGTGGTTTGCCTCCCAAAAGAGGCACTAACTGGTAGCAGCAGCAGCAGCAGCAGCAGAGCAGCTCTGCAGCAGTAGTAACAACTAAGTGCTTATTGGTCTTCTAGCTACCATTATAAATTTGAGTGGAGAGTAATTTCTTGAGGGTTGAGTGTTGGGGAGAAACCAAATGAGGGTTGAGTGCACAAGATCTTGGTTATGGAGGCAGTCACTCTACTATGGAAAAACATAACATTGATTGGCTTCTTTTGTGTGTGCTTCTAATCTTGGTTATGAAGGCAGCCACTCTACTAGCTAGACTTATTCACCCAAAAAAAAAACTAAGTGCAGCAATAGCAGCAGCAATTAAGTGCTGCAACAGCAGCAGCAACAGTAGCAAAGGCATTAACAAACCAAAACAGATTGTGGTCCTGTTTTATGGTCAAATGTCATACACTATGCAAGTGATACCAGCAGAGGTCTGTTCTTTGTGGTTTAGTTGGGAGGGGGAGAGGTGTGTGAGTACAAGGCCTTATTTTAAGGATGCTTTCGAGACAAATTGAAAAACTTAAAAACAAAAGACAAATAATAAATTTTTGGGATTTAAGATGTGAGAGAGAGTGGAAACTCTCAATTGGTTGCATTTGGGGATTTGAATCTTATTTTTAACAACTATAGAACAAGAATGTTTATACGGGGCCACATAACCTTTATCTGATCTATGAATAATTACAAAGTCAAAAAAAGAAAAAAAAAATAATTCCATAAGGTCTAAACAATCTACGCATTCATTATTCAATACTATCATTTATATTGAATGTTACATATCCAAGAGGAGAGGTGCAGGCTTAAACACTGCTAGGAAATGCCCTAGCGCTCAAAGTGGGCTGCCTAACTCACTTAGGTGGTTTGCCTCCCAAAAGAGGCAGCAACTGGCAGCAGCAACTTGCAGCAGCAGTAGTAACAACTAAGTGCTTATTAGTCTTCCAACTACCATTATAAATTTGAGTGGAGAGTAATTTCTTGAGGGTTGAGTGCTTATTGGTCTTCCACATAACCTTTGCAACATTTAGCAAGGTGCTAAAGCTAATGTTGTCAGTTTACCTACTGTAAACATCAATTGTGAATGTTCTCAGAGAAATAATCCTAGAAGTAAGATTTTGTTCATCTCGTAGAGGAGGTAAGTGATTGTTTTTTCCATTGATAGAATTGTCTTCTATGAATTTGTTATGTGTGTGAACAAATTTCAAGTTGAAAAATTGCTTTAATCTAGGTGTGTTGATATAGGAGCTCCAAAACGTAATTCCTTTACTAAAACAGAAGATTCTATGCAGTGTAGCCAGAAAAGTAGGTGCATTTGGTTTCAACCTCTAATTTAGGAACACGACATCATGTAAAGCTTTTTGATCTGTTGAACATGATCTACATATGCCTAAGAAAATGATTTTTTTTAGAACTTTTGTTATGAACCCATGGACCTAAATCTCATACATTTTTTAGTTGGAGATTGGCAAGGTTCTATCGTGCCAACTTAAATTGGGACTTAGGAACACATTGAGAGAATTGGTTAGGCCTCTAAAGATTCATCTCTTGTCCTCTCAGAAAGGTGTTCAGTCCATTAGAATTCCATTTTTTTTTTCTCTAATGGCTTGTCCCTTGGGTTCTAGAACTTCTTGGTGAGAAGAAACTCTAACAATTATCCCTTGATCTATTTTTCTAGAATCTGGCACGTGTTGATGA